CACCCGCCTCGTTCACACCTTATACACACACACACGCACACGCACACACACGCACACTCACTTACACACACACACGTGCGGGCGCACTGACCACTCCATTCGCAAATTATCAACAAGTCTCGAGAACGGAAACACCATTCGGTGAAATTGAGTTCAAGTTTATTTTCTTAAGCAATCGGAGAAATAGAGCTGGCCCTTAAACTATTCGTCCTCTCTCAGTAAAAATAACTTTGATAACCAACATGGCAAGAAGAATGATTCTGCCGAGTGATGTCGATGTGTCTCTTTTAAAAATGTTTTTAAAACAACGAAGTGTATACAGACCCGGTAACCTGGAACAAAGTCACGAAGTATACAGACCCGGTAGGGGAACTCTTTTGTGATTTCGGACCTAGATCTAGATCTAGATTTCCAGATCTACTCAAAGTACTTTTAGTTAGTTCAGCAGTGTAACATTATCAGGCCTCATCTCATCACGGTAAATCTAATTCTAAATCTGTCTAGATTCTAGATCTAGATATCTAAATCTTATTAGAGTTCTAGATCTAGATCTAGATCTAGATCTAGATCTAGAATCTAGATCTAGATCTAGAATCTAGACCTAGATATAGATCTAGAAACCTATTTATAATAATAAAAACAAAAGAGTGCAGACCAAAATTCAATTCGCCGACCTTCTCCAATTCCATCGCAAAATAAACTAAAACATGTTCACTAAAACCAGACGCTTCCCGATCTAAGACAATCTCAATTTTAGTTGAAGTTGGTTTAGTCAAAAGCCTTCTACTCAAAACAATAGCATACCATTTCTAGACTTGGTGACGAGATATGCCCCTCTCAGAAGCCTGAAGCAACGAAAGACTCAGGTGTGACAGAAACAGGAAACAGGTAGATTACCGGACAGGAGGGGCTGTCTTCAGGTAAACCAGGCCTGCGGGATGGGCGGGTCCGTGTTTTACCGTTTCCCACTTCCTGGGTCGGTCGTGACAAAAATATCGATCTGATTGTGGGACAAAAGGACAACTCCTGTATAACTTTAACATTGTACTTTTTCCTGAATAGCCTCCCCTCTCTCGGTGGCTGGCTTCTGTATAGATTGTGAACTGCATTATTATTATTATTATTATTATTATTATTATTATTATTATTATTATTATTATTATTAT